AATAAATGTATTGTCGAATGCTTTCATGGCCGGAATCACTGGGTTGTTGTAGGTTTTTCCGGGCTATATGGCCATGGCCTAGAGGCATTTTCTCCTGACGTTTCACCTGCATCTATGGCAAGCATCCTCAGAGATAGTGAGATTTTCAGTTCTGTTGTGTTTCCATATACCTGGTAGCCAGATTTTGTTCATTTTCATGGTTTCTTCCTTTCTGTTGAAATTGTCCACATGCTTGTGGATTTCAATGGCTTCTCTGTGTAGTCTGACATGGTGGTTGTGAGAGTGGTCCAGCATTTCTGTGTTCCCAAATAATATGCTGTGTCCAGGTTGGTTCATCACTCTCAACAAAAGATTCCCCCTGGGCACTTCCAAGCCATTAAATGCTAATCAAGGTGGTCAGTTGAAACATTCACACCTAGCTCCAGCAGACAAACGTCCTTTGTCCCACCCTGGTCATTCCACAGATATATAAACCAATTTTCCTATTTCCAACAGACCTCACTACCTCTGAGGCTGCTTGCCATAGATGCAGGCGAAACGTCAGGAAAAAATGCCTCTAGAACATGGCCATATAGCCCGGAAAAACCTACAACAACCCAATAACTGGATTTTATGAGTCTATATTGCCAGATAATCCACCTCAAGGCAGATAACCTGGATTTTAGATGTCACTGAGGATGGGGCCTTCCTCAAAGCTTTTTCCGAGCCCCCTTTTCTTCTCTCTCCATTCTTGTCTCAGTTTCCTTTCACCCTATGCAGCGACGGGAGGGAAGGAAGGGTGCCACATTGATCACTTGATCTTGGGGATACGTGTAGGAAAACTCCTCATCGTGTAATCTAGGCCGCCAGCCCACAACGGTGGTGGTGGATTCCTCCATTCTTCGGAGGCCGCTCCAAACACCTTCGCGCGCCGGCCGCCATTTTGTCTCTTTCTTTCCTTCCTTCGTTCCTTGCGCTGTCAGCCTTCGGGCATTTCCGCGGAGGCCGTTCGAGCTTTCCCGCTCTTTGAAAGGAGGGAGGGATGGGGCACGAGCCAAGAGGACGGGGGGAGGGGGGAGAGTGGCGAGAGCGAGGCAGAAGAGAAGGGAGGGGGAGAGAGTGCGCGAGACAAGAGGGGAGGGAGCAGGCCTACAGCGCGCGGGGGGAGGGGTTAAGGGTTCAATTTCCCCCCCAACCCCAAAATGTTTCAGATTTTTAAAAAATCTGGTTTACTCCTGAATTTTAGGTGGTTAACTAATTTGAAAGTAAACCAGCTTTAAAAAAAAAAACCTGAAACATTTCGGGGTGGGGGGGGGCGGGACTTTAACCCTTTAATTTTAAAACAGTTACATTTGGTCCGCCCATAGGTTTTTAAATCCTTGTAAATCCTGTTTATTAGTTATTGTTTATTTGTGATTTATATTAATTGTATTGTATTTATTGTTTTTGTTTATTGATGTGTTGTTGGGCTTGGCCTCATGTAACCCGCTCCGAGTCCCTTGGGGAGATGGTGGCGGGGTATAAAGTATTATTATTATTATTATTATTATTATTATTATTATTATTACTAGCTGTCCCCTGCCACAAGTTGCTGTGGCCCAGTCTGGAGATCTGGAAAATAAAGTAATGAGAAAGTGTTGGTTTCTAATATATGTAATTTCTTTATGCTTGTGGGTAAACAGTATTTCTTCCTGTTGTCTGTGTTGATGTGGAGAGTGTCTGGTTTGCCCACCCTGGAACATGCAACATATAATTTTCCTTCTTTAAGGATTCCTTTCAAATCTATGATACTATATTTCTCTCTGTGTGTGTGAATCCCATCTATCTATGTATATAGCAGGGCCGTAGCCAGAAAATCTTTTTGGGGAGGGTTGACAATTTCGGGGGGGGGGGTGTTGAAACCTGCCTCCTAGCTCACATTGAAGCAAAGAGCACAGCAGGGGCAGAGCAGCCTTCCATAGCCTGCAGCTCTGCCCCTGTCAACCACCTCCACCAAGTCTGGCCTCCTTAATGAGAGCATTCAACACACACACACCCAACTTGGTTGCTTCACTACATCGGCTATTGCTGCAAGTAATGACAGTGTGAATAAATTGTCAATATTTGCTTGAGATAGTGCTTGCAGTTCTGGAGGGACTCTTAATTTTTTGCATCGCATAGACTTAGCATGGGGTTTTGGTTAACCAGTTAAAATTCATGAGTAAACCAGGTTTTTTAAAAAAATCTGAAAGATTTCAGGGGGGGGGGTTGAACCCCTAAAACCACCCCCTCGCTACAGGCCTGGTATATAGTAACCTATGGATGTGAGAGCTGGACCTTAGGGAAGGCTGAGCGAAGGAAGATCGATGCTTTTGAACTGTGGTGTTGGAGGAAAGTTCTGAGAGTGCCTTGGACTGTGAGAAGATCCAACCAGTCCATCCTCCAGGAAATAAAGCCCAACTGCTCATTGGAGAGAAGGATAGTAGAGGCAAAGTTGAAGTACTTTGGCCACATCATGAGGAGACAGCAAAGCCTAGAGAAGACAATTATGCTGGGGAAAGTGGAAGGCAAAAGGAAGAGGGGCCGACCAAGGGCAAGATGGATGGATGGCATTCTTGAAGTGACTGGACTGACCTTGAAGGAGCTGGGGGTGGTGACAGCCGACAGGGAGCTCTGGCGTGGGCTGGTCCATGAGGTCACGAAGAGTCAGAGAAGATTGAAGGAATGAACAACAACAATCTATAAATATCTATGGCTGGATGGCTCTTTGTCAGGAGGGCTTTGATTATGTATTCTTGCCCTGATGAGAGTTGGACTGGATGGCCTTAAGTATTTTCTGTTGGTCATGGGGGTTCTGTGTGGGAAATTTGCCCTGATTCTGTCATTCATGGGGTTCAGAATGCTCTTTGATTGTAGGGGGACTGTGAATCGCAGTGACTACAACTCCCAAAGGTCACGGTCTATTTCCCCCAAACCCCATCTGTGTTCATATTTGGGCATATTGAGTGCTTGTTTCAAGTTTGGTCCAGATCCAGCATTGTTTGAGTCCACAGTGCTCTCTGGATGTAGGTGAACTACAACTCCCAAACTCAAGGTCAATGCCCACCAAACCCTTCTAGTGTTTTCTTTTGGTTAAGGGAGTCCTGTTTGTCACCTTTGGTTGTATTCCATCATTGGAGTTCAGAATGCTCATTGATTGTAGGTGAACTATAAATCCCAGCAACTCCAACTCCCAAATGACAAAATCATAATTTTTTGAGTGATGGTAACTCCTTGGGCTGTGAGACGTTTTGTTGCCAAATTTGGTGTGATTTCGTTCATTGGTTCTTTTGTTGTTAAGGTACCCGTTATGCACAGAGCATATATATATATAAAATTATAGATATAGATATAGATCAGGGGTCCTCAAACTTTTTAAACAGAGGGCCAGGTCATAGTCCCTCAAACTGCTGGAGGGCCGGATTATAATTTGAAAAAAAATGAATGAATTCCTATGCACACTGCACATATCTTAGTTGTAGTGCAAAAAACACTTAAAAACAATACAATAATTAAAATGAAGAATTTAAACAAATATAAACTTATTAGTATTTCAATGGTAAGTGTAGGCCTGTTTTTGGCTAATGGGAAAGGGTTGTTGTTTGCTTTCAAGTCATTTCAGACTTAGGTTGACCCTGAGCAAGGGCCGGGTAAATGACCTTGGAGGGCCATATCCGGCCCCCGGGCCTTAGTTTGAGGACCCTTGCTCTATACCATGGCCATATAGCCTGAAAAAAACTACAACAACCCAGATAGATTCAGCTTTTTTAAAACCTGATACATTTCGGGGTTGGGGGGATTTGAACCCTTAAACCAGGGGTCCTCAAACCAAGGCCCAGGGGCCGGATGCGGCCCTCCAATGTCATTTACCTGGCCCTCGCTCAAGATCAACCTAAGTCTGAAATGACTTGAAAGCACACAACAACAACAACAAGAACAATAATCCTATCTCATCAGACAAAAGCAGGCCCACACTTCCCATTGAAATACTATTAAGTTTATATTTGTTAAAATAGTTGATTTTAATTATTGTATTGTTTTAAATGTTTTTTGCACTACAAATAAGATATATGCAGTGTCCATAGGAATTAGTTCATTTTTTTTTTCAAATTATAATCTGGCCCTCCAACAGTTTGAGGGAATGTAACCTGGCCCAGTGGGTTAAAGCACTGAGCTGCTGAGCTTGTTGATCGAAAGGTCACAGGTTTGATTCTGGGGAGCGGTGTGAGCTTCCGCTGTCAGCCCTAGCTTCTGCCAACCTAGCAGTTCGAAAACATGCAAATGTGAGTAGATCAATAGGTAGGTAAGGGCGCTCCATGCAGTCATGCCGGCCACATGACCTTGGAGGTGTCTACAGACAACGCTGGCTCTTCGGCTTAGAAATGGAGATGAGCACCACACCCCAGAGTCAGACATGACTGGACTTATGTCAGGGGACTACCTTTACCTTTACCTTTACCTAACCTGGCCCTCTGTTTAAAAAGTTTGAGGACCCCTGCCTTAAACCCCCTCCCCCTCCTCTCGATCCAGGCCTGGGAGAGCGCGCGAAGCAGAAGAGAAGGGAGGGGGGAATCGCGGGGCAGGAATGGAGTAATGGGGAGAGAGAGCGCAGGGTAGAAGACAAGGGAGGGGAGACAGCGAGCGCGAGGCAGAAGGGAGGTGGAGAGTGAGCGAGACAGAAGAGAAGGGAGGGGGGAAGGAGCGCGAGGCAAGAAGGAGGGGGGAGAGCGCGCGGGGCAGAAGAGTAGGGAGGGGGGAGAGAAGAGCGCGAGGGAGGGGGGAGCGCGCGAGGCAGAAGAGAAGGGGGGGAAGGAGCGCGAGGCAAGAGGGAGGGGGGAGAGTGCGCTAAGCAGTAGAGTAGGGAGGGGGAGAGAAGAGCGCGAGGGAGGGGGGAGCGCGCGAGGCAGAAGGGAAGGGAGGGGGAGGAGAGCGAAGGCATGCTCGGCGGCGGCGGCGCTTGCTCCCTCCCTCCCTCCCTGGCCTCCTCCTCCTCTTCTCCCCCCCTCCCTTGCCTTCCCCTCCGTCGGCCGCTCTGCTTGCCTGCCTGCCTTGCCTTGCCTTCCCCGCCTGGCCTTGCTGTCGCCGGCGCTGGGAGAGCCGGAGCGAGCGAGCGAGCGGGCGCGTGGTGTGTGTGTCCTGTGAGTGACGCGGCGGAGGTGTAGTTTGACGCGGTGTGTTACGTGGGGGAGAGAATAAAACTGCGGCGAGAGCCTCGGCGCGAACGAAAGCAGTGACGGAGCAGCCTCTGGCCGGTAAGAGGAGAAGGAGAAAGCCCAGCGAGCACGCAGGAAGGAAGGAAAGGCAGGCCGAGGAGACAAAGGCCGACCAGAGAGAGAGAGAGAGAGGAGGAAAACAGGGAGGGGCGGCGGCCGTTGAGGCAAGGAAGGAGGCAGAGAGAGAGAGCCAAGCTTCGGCCTAACGCGCTCTTCTCCTCCCTTCCCCTCAGTTGTGAGGCGGTTTTAATTTTTAAAATGGAGCCTCTCCTTCCTCTTGCCCTGGCCCGGCGCTGCTGCTGCTGGAGGAGGAACAAAGAGTAATGGCGGATGGAAGCGGCCGGGCCAGGCAGAGCCGAGGCGAGCCAAGCCTGGCGGGCGGGCGGACCGAGGAGGAGGAGGATGGCGGCGGCCAAGCGGGGGAAAGAAACTAGGCCACGGCGCCCTTGGGAGAGGGAGAGGGCCTTCCCGCCAGGGTCTTCCCTCTGTCCCTCTCTCATCACGCATTGGTCATAAACACACGCTTCAGAGGGGTAATGGCGAGGTTACAGCAACCTCTTAAGAAAGGGGGGGGGGGATCCGCCGATCATTTTTCTCCATAAGGTCCCCCCCCCCTTCTTTAGGATCTAGTGGATCCAACACACACACACGCCTCACTCTTCTCCAAGCCAGAAGTTAGATGCCCCACCCCGGCCCTCTCTTGTCTTTTCCCGCCCAATGCTGAGCAAGGACTTCCCTGTCAGCCTTACACACCGAGTCCTAGGAGGAAAGGGAAAAGGGGGTGATCATTATGTGGGGTCATCAGAGAAGCCTCTCACAAGGTGGCAAAACATCCAGGCGTCCCCTGGTTAACGTCCTTGCAGACAGCACATTCTCTCACAACAGACGCAACTTGCAGTTTCTCAAATTGCTCCTGACATGAGAAACAAAAAATCCCAATACCCGCCTCTGCTGTGCTTGGAGCAGACCCCTGACTTTGTCCCACGGGTCCAGTGGTTCCTCTTTTCATAGTCAAAGCATCCATTTGGCTGTACCACTGTACCAGCAAAACAGTTTAAAAGAAAACATGGCTCCAATTTGAAAAACCTCTGAAAGTTCCTTTTGAAATAAAAAATAATTTTGGATCTACACTATTCTTGAACATCTTGTTTTCCTCACAGTTCTGTGTGGTTATGATGAAAGCTCTGGTGCTGGAAATGGTTGTATTTGCTTCAAACTTAATCCTCACTGCTCTGGTTTGCATTTTATCCCCCCCCCCTCTTGATCTGTACTTTGAGGGGCTGTGCTTAGGCAAAAAGTTGTATTAAATGAGGCAATGCTAGTATTACTGACACTTTGTTTTATTTGTAGAATCTATTCACCTCAGTTCAGTTTACATGGCACTCAGTAAAGTAATATAAGGGAGCAGACATATAGCGGGGGGGGGGGCGCTTGGGGGGCTTCACCCCCCCCCCCCGAAATCCTCATGGTGGTCCGCGAGAAGGCCTTACTGGTGCATTATTTAAACTGTTATGTTTATTCATATCATGATCTGATCACCATGCTCAATATATCCCATATTCATGGGGGTATTGGGGTAACAATACAAAAGGTTTGCTAGGGTAGACCCTCTTTCACTCAGACTCAGCCCCCCCCCCTCCCGAATCGAAATCCTGGCTACGGGCCTGTAAGGGAGATAACTTAAAACAATGTACTAAATTAGGGGGGCTAGGAAGAGTGCAGGCAAGAAAAGTTAACACATATATAAGTTTAGCTTCAGTTATGAGTGGAGTCGTTTTGAATTAAGTTCAGTGTGTAGTGGGCAGTTTCCTACTTCCCATGCCGTTTCTTCCCTCTCTAACCAAGGCAAATAAAATATTGCATTTCCATTGTATAGGAAGTATTTTCGTGGACATTTCCCTATTTCTGAAGTTATTAGGATGAAATTTAGCATTTAATAGCCTCACTAAACTACAAACCCCAGAGTTCTGCAGGAGGCAGAAACCGGATTTTAAATGGATTTATTATCTAGTGTGATGAAGTATTTGTTTAAATCTTGTGTAGGTCCAAGCCTGTGAGAGAATGTCTTTTCCCTCATTCAAAAGTCACGTTTTAGGACAGGCATGGGCATACTTTGGCCCTCCATGTGTTTTGGACCTCAACTTGCACAATTCCTAACAGCCAAGTAAGGTGCTAGGAATTGTGGGAGTTGAAGTCCAAGACTCTTGGAGAGCCAAAGTTTGCCCAAGCCTGTTTTAGAATCTACCAAGGACGTTTTATGCTCGCAGGCCTCTTTGGGCTGGAGGAGCTTTATACCACTAAAGGAGTTTTCCACTTCCTCTTAACCCAGTGGTTCTCAACCTGTGGGTCCCCAGATGTTTTGGCCTTCAACTCCCAGAAATCCTAACAGCTGGTAAACTGGCTGGGATTTCTGGGAGTTGTAGGCCAAAACACCTGGGGACCCATAGGTTGAGGACCACTGTCTTAACCCTACTCTGTTTTTCAGCTAGGGTTGGGATTTCAGTCATTGTAAAAAAAAATTTAAAAAAAGCTGGATTTTTAGCTACATTGGAAGTTTTGATAATTTTTTATGTTGCAAAATAGGACACAAAGTAAAGGGCTAATTTTAGCAGCGGTATCCCAGTATATTAAGTTTCAGGGAAGTTACTTGGTGTTGATTAATACACACTTGATAACAACATAAGGGACTAGGTTCTTGTGGGGTTTTTTGGGCTATAGGGCCATGTTCTAGAGGCCCTATAGCCCGAAAAAACCCACAGGAACCTAGTGATTCCAGCCATGAAAGCCTTCGACAATACATTGAACATAAGGGACGTTTTATCATGCTTACAACACGGTTCATTTATTTACTGTTTTAGACAACCGATTTGGCCATCTTCGAAAAGTGAATTTCACCATATAGTTAGTACTCTCAATCTAAGACTCCTTTAAAGTTTGCATATCCTGAAGTCCTAGTTTTCAGCCAAACATTGATCTTGATTGTTTTCCCTAATATGCTTTAATGCAGGGGTCCTCAAACTTTGTAAACAGAGGGCCAGGTTACAGTCCCTCAAACTGTTGGAGGGCCGGATTATAATTTGAAAAAACGAAGGAATTCCTATGCACACTGCGCATATCTTATTTGTAGTGCAAATAACACGTTAAAACATTACAATAATTAAAATGAACAATTTTAACAGATATAAACTTATTAGTGTTTCAATGGGAAGTGTGGGCCTGCTTTCGGCTGATGAGATAGGATTGTTGTTGTTGTGTGCTTTCAAGTCATTTCAGACTTAGATTGACCCTGAGCGAGGGCCGAGTAAATGACCTTGGAAGGCCGTATACGGCCCTCGGGCCATAGTTTTGGGGGCCCTGTTTTAATGTATAGGCAGCCATATTTGAAGGGTCATGGATTTTTTTAATGATATTTATTGTTGTTGTTCCTGTATTGCTTCCATTTCACAGAGAAATTTTAGTGTTCTCACATATCCTTGTTTCACCAGACTGTGGCCTAAATCCCCCTAACTAGGAAAAATATTGTGAACTGGGTAGTGAAACATAAATTTCATTGATTTGGTTGGTCTAGTTGGGGGTGGCATTTGGATTTATACCTGTGTTCATAAATGCAATAATTTCATAATGTTCTAGACAGGGTTTGTTACTAAATTCTAACATAATTTTGTGGATCTTCAAATATTGCATACTTTTCATGAACAAGGGCTTCATGGACTAGAGCCCTCCCCGCTACACACGCTGGATGCTGTGGCCTGAATGTAATAGTGCTCATGCTTTTATAGAAAGTGTTATAAGGTATAAGTTGGACACTATATTTGTAGACCTTTTTTAAACATAAGCTAGGGCCCCCTTTGAAAATCTGTCCCTAAGTATTGAGAAAATTCTAGAACTTAATAAATATAATGAAGAAAGCTGCAGTCAATTGGGGATTTGGCAATATGGACCACCTTGCATAAATAAGCTACGATTGGAATTCTGCAAATGCCAATCAAATGCTAAAAAAAACACAGCCTAGGTATAATCCTCTGTTAGAAAATATATATATTGATAAAGTGTGATTAAAAAAATAGCAAAAAAGCCTTCCAAGCGTCACTTAGGGTCACTGACATATTTTTTAAAATAAATTTTCATTTTTGCTTATTTCACATTTATAATAATTATATGATTTTCCTTCCAAAGGAAACTTCTCCAGAAATTCATACCATTGGCTTAGATTTGTGAAAGGTAGTTTTTAGGAGGGAAAAGCTACTCAACGTGATGGTCCATGAAATGGCGATTCCCAAGCCAACTGCTGCGAGACCCTGGAAGACATCCAATATTTATTTAAAAAGCCAAAACAAAATCCAATGGGCACAAATATACCAGTACATTGGGAGAAAAGAACCTGTTGGTTCTCCACATTAGGTAGCATAAGAAGCACTGTTGAAATTACTTTATAAACTTAGGACAGTGTTTCTCAACCTTCCTAATACAGCGACCCCTTAATACAGTTTCTCATGTTGTGGTAACCCCCAACCAAAATTATTTTCATTTCTACTTCATAACTGTAATTATGCTACAGTTATGAGTCATAATGTAATAATCTTATATACAAGATGATTTTCATTCACTGAACCAAATTTGACACAAATGTCCCGATACACCCAAATTTGAATACTGGTGGGGATGGGGGGTTGATTTTGTAATTTGGGAGTTGTAGTTACTGGGATTTATAGTTCACCTACAATCAAGGAGCATTCTGAACTCCACTAATGATGGAATTGAACTAAACTTGGCACACAGAACTTCCATGACCAACAGAAAATACTGAAAGAGTTTGGTGGGCATTGACCTTGAGTTTTCAAATTGCAGCTCACCTATATCCAGAGAGCACTGCAGACTCAAACAGTGATGGATCTGAACCAAACTTGGCACAAATACTCAATATGCCCAAATATGTACACTTGGGGAGTTTGGGGGAAATAGAGCTTGACATTCGGGAGTTGTGGTTCCTGGGATTGATAGTTTGCCTAGAATTAAAGAGAATTTGAACCCCACTAACG